ATTACGAACACTCGACGGTGATATTATCATCCGAATGGGATTTTATCTATGTGATGTTCATCGACAAATTGAAAGTTTACACACCAAGCAAGTTAGTCAATATCATGGTAAGACATTTCTTGTTTATCGCGGACAGGGATTATCAAAGGTAGACCACGAAAAACTCGTCAAAAGCAAAGGTGGACTCATTTCATTCAATAATTTTTTATCCACCAGTGTAGATCGTGATATTTCCCTCGGCTTCGCCAGAGATGCCTTAGGAACAGAAGGAATGATTGGCGTTCTCTTTCAAATGGCCATCGATCCCATGGTCTCATCGACTCCTTTTGCCTCCATCAAGGAGGTTAGTTATTTCGCACAAGAAGAGGAAATTCTCTTCTCGATGCACACCGTCTTTCGAATTGGTGAAATTCGAAAAATTGATAAGAAAAGTCCACTTTATGAAGTGGAACTCAAACTTACGTCGGATGATGACCAACAACTCCGCCAGTTAACCGACCGTATACGAGAAGAATCTTCAGGTGGCACTGGATGGTATCGACTGGGTTCTTTGCTACTCCAAATAGGTCAATTCAGCAAGGCCGAAGAATTGTACATGGCACTACTAGAACAACCGTCTGATGACAGCGATAAAGCATATATCTATCACCAGCTCGGATGGGTGAAACGAAACCAAGGACAATACAAAGAAGCAGCTTCATTTTATGAAATGTCTCTCAAAATTACACGAACAACTCTACCAGAAGATCACCCTTCATTAGCTAATACCTACAACAATATCGGTGCAGTGTATAACAACATGGGTGACTACTCGAAAGCACTTGAATTTTACGAAAAATCACATAAAATACTCGAAAAAGCTCTGCCTCCGAATCATCCCGAATTGGCTACTTCCTACAACAACATCGGTGCAGTGTATTACTACATGGGTGACTACTCGAAAACACTTGAATTTTACGAAAAATCACATAAAATTCTCGAAAAAGCTCTGCCTCCGAATCATCCTCATTTGGCTGCTTCCTACAACAACATCGGTGCAGTGTATAACAACATGGGTGACTACTCGAAAGCACTTGAATTTTACGAAAAATCACTTAAAATAAAAGAAAAAGCTCTGCCTTCGAATCATCCCGATTTGGCTATTTCCTATACTTGCATCGGTCAAGTGTATAACAACATGGGTGACTACTCGAAAGCACTTGAATTTTACGAAAAATCACATAAAATACTCGAAAAAGCTCTGCCTCCGAATCATCCCAATTTGGCTACTTCCTATACTTGCATCGGTCAAGTGTATAACAACATGGGTGACTACTCGAAAGCACTTGAATTTTACGAAAAAGATCTCGAAATCACGAAAAAAGCTCTACCTCCGAATCATCCCAATTTGGCTATTTCCTACAGCAGCATCGGTCAAGTGTATAAAAACATGGGTGATTACTCGAAAGCACTTGAATTTTACGAAAAGGCACATAAAATCTACGAAAAAGCTCTGCCTCCGAATCATCCCGATTTGGCTACTTCCTACAACAACATCGGTCAAGTGTATGACAACATGGGTGACTACTCGAAAGCACTTGAATTTTACGAAAAATCACATAAAATCCTCGAAAAAGCTCTACCTCCGAATCACCCTCATTTGGCTAGTTCCTACAACAATATCGGTGGAGTGTATTTCAACATGGGTGACTACTCGAAAGCACTTGAATATTCTAAAAAGGACTTTGAAATTACAAAACAAGTTCTGCCTGAGAATCATCCAGATTTGGCTTTTCCATACAAATGGTTCGGAAAGATTTATCGCAGCATGAAAGATTATTCAAAAGCACTTGATAATTTCGAAAAGTGTCTCTCAATACGTCAAAAAGCCTTGCCTGACAATCATCCAGATCGAGCTACTACATACAGTGATATTGGTGATGTTCATCGATTAATGGGTAGTTATGAAAAGGCACTTGCATTTCATCAAAAAGCATTAAATATTCAAGGAAATGTTCGATGTAATCCTCTGGACTGTGCATTGACATATATAAATTTAGGTGAAACGTATCGTGAAATGAAAGATTATTCAACAGCATTGACATATTTCGAAAAAGGATTAGAAATACGTGAAAAGAAATTATCAAAAAATCATCCTGATTTAGCTGTTGTATATCATAATATGGCAAAATTATATTTGGCTACACGAAAATATAGTATGGCAATGAAAAATATTCAACAAGCAGTTGAAATAGCTCAAGAAAAATTACCTTCAACTCATCCTCATCTTTTGGAATATAAAGAAACATCTGAAAGAATTCGAAAGAAAATGTAATCAATTTTTTTTTGTTTACTTGCTCAATAAATTGGTTTTGATTCTTTTTCACTTCCCTACTTTTCTAGGCTCATTTTCACGCGTACGCGCGCGCGCGACCAGGGAGAGGCCCTATGCGTATGAAACGGGTACACACAGAGCGGACCACGCCGGACTGGTAGGGCAATGTACATAGATGTACCGTACATAATGACGGCAGGGACCTACGTACATTAAAGGCCTTCCCGAGCACTACACTGCTTTCGCCATTCCATGACGAATAGAATCTCTCTCTGGATCAGGTTACGAAGCCACCTGATAAGGCTGTGATATAAATTGGTATCTATCTTCTAGCATAAATAACATAGACTCAACATAATAATAATAGTATTCACTAAATGTGTACAACAACGAAGAAAAAAACTATTTCATCCGAAATAAATCATCTATATCTTATTCTAACATTATCTCAATGTAAGTATTGTTATGAAAATTTAATTTAGAATTGTTCTTTCAACTATTAATTTATTTGTTCAAGTCTTTCTCAAGATAAATAAGATAATTTTTGAAGCAACATACCCAATCTTGTTATTGATATAAATCAATAAGAAATTATATTCTTTTTTAACATTCTCATGTTTTTTATAATTTCATATAATTCGTAAAAAAAACAGATGAATTCTAAAAGCATCATAGAATAAATTTCTATCATAAATCAATATATCCTAACATATATTATCATTGAAATCAAAAACATTGTAAAAAAGTATGAATCATAATATAACATCATTGAATGAATGAATGAATGAATGAATGAATTTCATTATAAATTAATGCATTGTAAAGCAATGGATTTAAATAACATCATTCAATAAATTTCATTCTAAAATAATACATTTTAATATAATGATTCAATAGACATCATTGTAAATTAATACATTTTGATGCATCATAAACTGATAGATTTCATTGTAATATAATGCATCTTTATATAATATCATTCAATAAATATCATTGTAAATAATGAATTTAACAACATAACATAAATGTCATTGTAAATTAATATATTTTTATATAATATGATTCAATAAATACTATGGTAAATTCATGCATTTTAACATAGCATTATACAATAAATTTCATTGTAATTTAATACAATATAATGCATCATAAACTTACATATTTCATTTTAAAATAATGCATTTTTATATAATGTCATTCAATGAATATCATTGCAAGTAATGAATTTAATAACATATAATAAATTTCATTGTAAATTAATGAATTTTAACACAATATCATACAATAAGTTTCATTGTAAATCAAAACATTTTAATACATCATGAAACTGATAAATTTCATTGTAATATAATGCATTTATTGAATTGTACAGAAATGAATTTTAATAACACCCACCCCTAGATTTCGTTCTAAAAAAATGCATCATTATATAATATCGATCAATAAATATCATCGGAAATTAATGTATTTTAATTCTTTGCATCCCAAATTATTTCTACTGGACGCTGACACGTCGAGATAAAAACCAGCATGCTCGCATACGGATTCACGTGCGCACACCTACACACCCATATCTACAAACTCGACACCCACCACATCCACACCGTTGAACATTTTTTATTGCTATATTCCAGTAAATTACATAATTATTAAACATGTATAGATTTCTTTTTCCTACTATAGAATTCAAATGTTTAACATAACATTATGTAACAAATTTCATTATAAATGTATACATTTTCATACATTATAAATTCATACGTAGCATTGTAAATAATTATAAATTGATAACTGTATGTCATTCATGAAAAATCATAATGTAAAATAATATTAATTATTGTCAGTAATATAAAAAATTGTAAACCGTAAAAATAAATCATGTGAGTGTCATGTTTTATCTTTATTGAGCATGCTCATGATTTGTTCGATCGAATCGTATGAGAATACTGGTGAAAATGTGTTTCATATATATATGTGTTTTTAAACATACATTGCCAATCAAAGACATTCTAATGATGTTGATATCAATTTGACGAACGATAATTGACGATGATGTGCACATTCAAATGTAATTGATTTGATTAATCATCACATGATTAATTGAAATGATGAGACACGAATTAATTTCATCGTTTTTCATGTGCATAGATGTGAATACTTGACCTTTGTTCATATACAGTCCTTCATGGACAATACATATTCTTTTCTTTCTTTCTTTTTTGGATCAGAAGAAATTTCTATTCATCATCATCATCATCATCATCATCGAAAAAACAAAAGCAATTAATTTGAATCATAAATCATAGAATTATTTTTTAGTACGACTTTTGAAAATTGATTAGAGTGCATTATTCAAATGAACATATTCATTTTCTTGGAAACACAAGATCAACAAGTCTGTTGAGTACGACTGCACTGTCATTATATGAAAACTCGTCAAGACAAAGTCAAATAACTGTACAGAAAATTAAAAAGTTTTCATAAAATTCGATTTCTATCCCATTGAATGAATATTTCTGTTGAGATTAAATCACTAATAGGGTGTGGATGTGGGTGTGTAGGTGGGTGTGAATGAAGAACATAGACACACCCACCAACTTGTGTTGCTTTGTTTTTTTTTGACGAATTTCCTTATATTTTTTGTTCCTAATACAAACAATTGAATGTCAATTATTATTAGTATAAAATGAGTTTTACTTATTTAGAACTCGACAACAAGATTTCTATGATCAATATTCATCATCATACAATGATTCACATTATTGGCATGAAAATAATTCAAATTCATATGATTTTTATGGTTCAACATCCATCTCATACACTTTTACAACAAAATGGTTTTACTCAACAAGTTTATCTTAAATATGAACAAGAATGTCTTGATGATAAAAAAGAAACATTGACATTGTAGAGAAAAAAAAGATTATTAGTTCAGTACATATTTACAATATTTCAAGAGA